AAAAAAAAAAAAAAAAAAAAAAGTTATGATCCTGTAAACTAAGTTATTTAAGGTTAAATAGGTTTAGTTTTGATGAAATAGTCCCCAAAGTTTTCTTTTTACAAAGTATTTAGAATATGAGTCTAGAATAGACTGAGTAAATCAAAGTTCATTTTTTTTATTTTTGGAAAGGCTACTCAGTTTTGTACATCATAAGCCTGCTTTGTAGGGAAGTTATGAAAATAAAAGGAAATGGGACCATCATTTATGACCACACTGGCTTTCTTGATAAGAAGAAAAGAAGTTGGGCAAGTGAAAAGTAAGTTAAAAAAGAAGAAGTAAAAATCATAAAAGTGATTCCCCCCCCCCTTTCTAGAAAAACTGAGAGACGAAGCAACGGGAGAAATCCTTCATTCTTAGTAATATTTATCTGCATTCTAAAAGGATGCTATTTATTGAAATTCTAGTCCCAAACCTCGCTATCTATCACTTTACTTCAGATTTCAGGGTGTAAAACAGACCTATGTTGATAACTCTACAATCATTTAAAATCAAAATATCTCATAATGTGCCACCATATTTGACAATTACAATGTTTATTTTTTCTCTCTCAGAAATATTACACTTGGGGTCCTTTTGACAGCTAAAAATGGTTTCTGTATTGATTATTTACCGAAAGCATTATTATAAAATATTTTCTCCTTCCAATTTTAAGTTCTTTCTGTTTATTTTCTCTTGACCTTTAAATTTCTTATCACTCCGAAACTCAGTTCTATCTTTCTGCTTTCTAAGATATGTTCTTCAATCTTCTATAAATTCTCCAACTTTTCTTTCTTTCGTTTTTCATGTATTCCTGCCCTTATGGGAACCTGACTGGGACAGAGACATTAATGTTCATAGCAAAAATAGATCTATTGGGTGATGGTTAGTGAATAACCTGGTAGACAAGCGAAAAATTATTGCTTATCTGAATTTAGAAGTGGAGAACAGCAACAGGGAACTTTCAGGCCAGTGATCCTCTAGGCATGCTTAATCCATAATAGTCTTGGATCCACCTCTAGATGTGGACTTCAGCTCCCAGAATTGAGCAGTTATTATGGCAATTACTGAGAATCCTGGTAGTTGATGTCCACATATCTGAAAGCTATCCAAGTTGGGGAAAGGTGTCATAGTATGCTTTTTTTTCCAGACATTGACTGTTTTCCCAATGTGTGATTCTCCTAGCAACAGAGGCACCACCCTTTGGACCAAGTCAACCATACCAGGGTGATGAAGGGCTTTGTCCTTCTGGGCTTCCCATCCCTTTCGCCCTCCTTCCAGCTGCTCCTATGCTCCCTACTTTCCATCTGCTATGCCTTCACCTTGGTGGGGAACCTCTGCATCGTGTGGGCTGTTCTCTTGGACTCTCGACTCAGCCGCCTGCCCATGTATATCCTCCTGGGAAACTTTTCGGGTCTAGAGATGTGCTACATAACCACCACGGTACCCAAGATGCTCTTCGATTTGGCCTCTCCACTGCCGGGTGTCATCTCTTTCCATGGCTGTTTTCTCCAGTTCTATTTTTTCTTTTCTATGGGGACCACCGAAAGCTTCCTTCTTGCTGCAATGGCCTTAGACCGATACTTGGCCATCTGCCACCCACTGAGATACCCACTGCTGATGTCTCAAAGGTTCTGCTGCATCCTGGCTGCTTCCTGTTGGGCCTCTGGCTTTCTCTGGTTTCTGGCACCCATCATTTTGATTTCCCAGCTCCATTTCTGTGGCTCCAGCGTCCTCGATCACTTTATCTGTGACCCAGGGCCGTTGTTGGCTTCTTCATGCACTCCAGCCCCAGGCACAGAACTGGCCTTCTACAGCCTCAGCTCCATCGCTATTTTTGGTCCCTTCCTCTTCATTGTTTGCTCCTATGCTACTCTCCTCTGGACAGTAATGAGATTGCCTTCAAGTACTGGGAGACGAAAGGCTTTTTCCACATGTACCTCACATATGCTGGTGGTAAGCCTCTTCTATGGCTCCATCATGGTCACTTATGTAGCCCCCGGAGCTTCAGGAGGAAGCAACAAGGTGGTGACCCTTTTCTATTCGGTGCTGACCCCCTTGCTCAATCCACTCATCTACAGCTTGAGGAACAAGGAGATGAAAGATGCTCTGAAAAGGACACTATTCCCAGAAAATTAGGGAATGTGATTCATGGATGGTTGGTCTGGACCTTGGTCAAGAGATCAGGGCCTTTTCCCTTCTAGGACCTTTTTGAATTTATAATGACATCATTGTTATTGATTTTCATGTATAAAAATAAGCAAAACAATGAGGGACTGGACTACAATGAAAGTGTGCTTTTAGTTTGATTACACACTATGTTTCCCAGAAAATAAGATCCATCCGGAAAATAAGCCCTAGTGTGATTTTTCAGGATGCTCCAAAAATAAGTGTCAACGCTGCAAATACTGTATATTCTTGCTTTGACAATGTGCAGAACTGTCTGGTATTTATATAGTTAAACCAGCAACCAGGAAAGAGGGAGGAGCATAAGGATAGCCTGGGAGAAAGAAACCTGAAGTAAATCACATCTTCCAATCAACTTGGAAGATGTGAACCATGACCCTACAATAAGGGAGTGGAAATGTTTGGAATGTTATCCATACGGAAGAGAAGCAGATCTAAGCATTCCTCCATATTGTGCTGACGTATCTGTAACATTAATAAATGCTTTTAGGAGAAAATATGCCTGAAAGTCCTTTTTAGTGTTTCGTTAATCAGACACATGACATTATGCTTAGATCTCATCTCATTCTAAAACAATATGGGGTCCCAAACCCCATCCACTGCCTCGAAGTTTGAGAGGTACTGGTAAAGATTTGGGGACCATTTGAAAATCAACAGACGAACTGGACTGATCTTCTCCCTTTTGCGGAGGTGGCGTACAATAATTCTGTGCACAGCAGCACCGGTTACACGCCTTTCAGAGTGGCCACGGGAAAAGAGTTCAACCCAATACCTGAATATCCTCAGATGCCCTCCGCTTCCCAGACACTTGACCAGTGGGTGAAGGGGTGGGAAGAAGTTTGGAGAAACA